TGACTTGCTTAAAATAAAAATTTATGAAGAATCAGCATGTTTGTGAAGAAATATAGTTCCAATAAACTTTTTTTGAAAAAAAAAAACAAATTAAAGAAAAAACAAGGGTATGAAAAGGATTTTAAGAAAAAAGCCTACAATTTTTAATAAAATTTTGCATGTATCCCACTCACTAATACCGCATTCTACTAGCAAAAAAGAAAGAAAAAAATTATCGTTCAAATGTCATTGCGTTTTCCCCCCATGCATAATAACTCCCCCCCTCTTATCATGGGAATGTGTCAGCCAGGGCGCGTGAAAGGGCGCGCCCCACAGACGCGTGTGAGTCCAGACCGCCCACTACAACTCCTGTCGATCAAAAGACGGTCTTTCCCCTCTCAACTATAGACCCCCGAGTGTGAAAGGATAATAATTGTCCGTTAATAATCAATGATGCCCTTTTAAAGATACTGTTTTTTCCTTCTAGAACCAACCCCCCGTGCCAAATGAGGGGCCATTCAGACACAAGTTTCCGCATGCAGTTGGCCTGCTTCTAATTTGAGGTCTTTTGATAAGCCCCCTGTGTGAAAAACCAAAGTGCCACTTGTGATCGGTTCTAGATGATTAAATACTCTTTCATGAACTGTGCTGGGAAAAACTGGGAAAATCTAAATTGAACTGATCGCTTTTCTCACATGCATTTTCGGAAATTTTTTTTCCTGTTTGTTTTACTTTCATTCCTTACATTAGCATTATTCTCCTATTATTGTTACTTAGTATTTTATTTCGAAGTTCTCAATTTTATAATTATAGTAAAGTGTGTTTACTGAACAGGACAAAATAACAATTTCAGATGTCACTTCTTTTTTTATTATTCACTCCCAGGACAGTTGTTTGAACATTGAACCATAATATTGGTATATTGAACCATAATACGAGACAAATTTCCTGCAATCTTAATTAAGTGTTAAATTGAATCTTGTTTACATTCAAGTTGAATCCAATATAGTATAATCAAGATTAAGTAATATCTTACTGTAAAAAATGACGGTATAAAGTACCGGCATTTTGGGTGCATCACCCGTAATATTCATTCGGCCGTAAAATCTATTTTAAAGTAAAATAAAGTAATTTTTACAATAATATTTAGCGATTATTAGAGTGATTCAGTAATTTTACCGTAATTGTTACGGTAAAAATTGCTGTATATTAATTTTTTGTTGCTTAACCGGTAAAAAAGGATTTTAAGATAAATAGTACCGTCAGCCTGAGTGCCGGAACTTTTTACTGTAATTTGATCCGGATTTTTTACTGTTCATATTATGATTTATCCCTTTCAAAGGTGGAAAGACAAAAACTGCCCCACTTTCTTTTTTAATGATGCAAAAATCCTAAAATTGTTGTAATTTTTCCCTCTTAAACTCTTCTATTTCTTTTCAACCACTCTAAATTCTCTAAGCAAATTGCTTTATTGTGATCTCGCAGGTGACGACCACAATGCTTACGGTCCTTTTTTACTAAAATTTTAGCAATTTTTTTTCCAGATCTGCAAAGGTTCAGTATTAATTTAAACGAGTTAATTAATACACTCTCCGAAACTTGTAACAATGTATAAAGGCAAGTTTTCAATATTTGAAGTACTATTCCACTCAAATTTTTACTGCGTTGAGATCCGTAAGTTTAAAGTTGTATATTAATGACAAATATAGAATTATAAGCCTTAAACCACCTGCTTTATGCAGATTTTATTAAGCAAAACAATAGAGGAATATATATTATAATTATATCAAAAATATAACTTTTCTTAGTGCATAAATAAAAGATAAGCTGAGAATATTAATATGTATCTACTATACAATGAGATATTTGAAACGTTTATATCGTAATTAAAGCTTGGAATAAAACTTAATATTCTATGGTGCCAACTACAGATAACGCTCAACTCAGGTCTTCTTGATTTGCGTGCAGATCATTAAATTGTTACATTTTTGCTCACAGCCACTGATTTTGTACACGACATATGTTTCATTGAACACTGAATAATTACAGAATTACTAAGATCAGTGAAGTTAGAATTGTCGCAAAGACTGACACGACTTTACAGCAAATCGAGGAGCAAAGAAATTTTTAAAGTTTTATTTATTGATAACTTACTATAAGTTAGGTAAAAGGGAAAAGCGTAAATACGTTTTTATTTCTTCTAATTAACTAAAACGACATTTTACAATTCACGTATAATAAATGCAACTCGTTAAGTATATACTGAGAAATAAATAAATAAAAATATCGAATTTCTCCAGTCAGTTATTATGTTTTATAAGCTTGAAATTTAATAAAAAGAAATTACTTAAAGTAATTTAAAGTTACTCTCAGATGTGTTATAATATTTTTTTGTGGTTTTGGCTTATATGATTTTCCAATTGTCATGTTAATGCTTTTAATTAAATTCTTTTTTTTTTCTTTTTTTTTATGCATGGTGGTTAACAATTTTATCTTAGGAAGCATGAAAAGATGCACTACTTAAAATAATATTTAAATGTGAAGTAGATATTACTATAATTTGGAGAAACTTAGCGTTTTTTTTTACTTTTGAGGAATGAATTGAATCATTTGACATGTTTATACTTTTCATTTATGGGACACATTGATAATTTTTTCTTTAGATGGTTAAAAAGTTTACGTTTTTTTGCATGAGCAATTTTCTTTCTTTACGAAAGTTATAAACGCGTAGGCAAAAAAGTGAGATGCAGTATGCTTTAAACATTATGTTATGCTAAAGATGGAAAATTAACTTATTTTTAAATTCAATGTCTAGAGACCCAAGCATTAAATAATGTCATAAAATCTAATTTCCTTTAAGAAATATATAGAAAGAAAACTTATAAATGCGATAAAAAAAATTTAAAAAAAATTCATTAAAATAAAAATTTATGATTTTTAAACAATTTTTCAAAAAAAAAAATGATAATTTTTTACTTTTAGCATCCTTCACATATTATTCGATATTAATATAGCGTATTTCGTCACATTTTGGTTATGGAACTAATCTAGTAGATTTAATAAGATATTTATTTATTCCATGATTATTCCATGAAACTGTCAAAAAATAATTGAATCGAATTTCTCATTTTCCTCACAATTTCTTCATAGTAGTAAGAAATTCCGACTAAAAAGATTAAAAAAATTATTTGTTACATAAAAATTCGCTTTAAAAGGTATACTATTAGGAAAAAAAATATTATTACTTTTAGAGTCATAAAATTATACCAAATTTTGTTCACTTTATTGCACGCTGGGTCTCGACGTTAAAATGTATTTTCATTTTTAAAAGCTGTTTCTTCCAACAAATCCTAGCTTTGCTCTATCATTTTCTAAATAAAGTGTAAATTAGTGTAAATTTTTATATCTTATTTCAGNTATATATGTATCTGTGTGTGTGTTTAAAATAATAAAAAAAAATAATAGGGAAAAAGAGCTATGGTGCAATAGAAATACCGAGGGTAACTTGGGTAATTTTCAAAACCTTCTGTTATAGCAGATTTTTCGTGAATTTATTTTAAAAGAAAGTTCATTTGTATTTTCAGACTGAATAAATTATAACTTTAGAGTAATATAAAAGAAGAGAAATATTCATATTTTATATATTTCCTCTCAATAATTAAACCTAACACTATGCAACAATGTGCGAAAATTTTGTATACTCTGTTTTAAACTTCAAAATGCTCAAACGAGACATATAATCAGTAATGAACATGAAACTTGATGAAACACAAAAAAATGCTCTAGTACAACTTATGCTCTAGTACAACTGAAGTGCTTGGATTGTTATAATGATAAGTCTCGCTTCTTAGAAAGGCAAAATTCTTACATAACCTATTTCTTATGATTTCTAGATAGGTGATTTATAATTTTTCAGAATTGTTACTTGATAGCAGCAAATAACACAGAAAATTCATATTGACTACAAAGAAATCATTGCATTTTTACCAAAGCGCTTTTAAAAATGTCCCCGCTCCTCCCCGACACAAAAAAATGAGGTTTATTATACTGTGCCCTTAATACAAAAAAGATATATATACAGTTACTACTAGAACTTAATGGTCTACTACAATTTAATTAACCTAGTACAATTTTAATAACCTAGTGCAATTAATAACCTAGTGTTACAAATTTTAATTACCTGGTAGGACGGAGAAAAAAAGTATGTAAAAACTACAATTTTCAACTACAAGAATATGGTATGATACATGCAGGACAGAGAAAAAAGTATATCAAAACTACAATTTTGAACTACAGGAATATGGCATGATATATGCCAGTGTTTCCCAAAGTGTGGTACGCGCACCCCCAGGGGTACGGGAACAGTTTACAATTTTTAAGAAAATTTATTTAAAAACAAAACTAGAGATGAAAATTTACGATTACGTATTTTTCTATTGGCTATTTTTTTGCAGTTAACAGTTAATAATTAGTGGTGTCAACAGCCAATTGTGATTTTTAACTTTTGGGTAATTTTTTTATAGTAAAAAATACATTAATTTTTTTTATTAGTGGTACACAGGGCGACGAAAAATTTTGAAAGGGTACACAAAAGTCATAAGTTTGGGAAACACTGATATATGCGTTCCTGGCTGCATGAGAATACCAAAAATCTTAGTAGTTTTCATCAAACTGCTAAGATAATGGTTTTAGTAAGTTTAATAATAAAATAGGGTATAAAAATATGTGAAATGTGGTAAAATTTGGTAATTTTATCATGCTATTTTAAAGCATGTCATAAATACCCTTTATTTGGTTAAATTTACTTTTCATTTTGTATTTTTACTAAATGCATGGCGATAAGTACAATAATTTAGAAAACCAGAATTTCCTAAAAACCGTTGTATTTCGGTTTTTGTTACCAGAATTAGGATTCTTTTTTTTTTTTTAACAGAACTGTCATTATCGTATAGTTAGGTAATTTCCCCAGAATTTTTTTCTCCGTGTAATAATCCATTGCAATAGAAAAATAAAATTATTACCTGCCATTTGTAGGGACGTTCCATTGGTGGTTCCATTGTGCGGTGAATGTTGGCCATTGGCCGTGTGACCATTAGGTGTGATTTTCTTTTCTACAGTGCAGTCATTGTCTGCTTTGCAAAATAGTCCATCGTCTCTAAGGGCGAATTCATCACCCGGTAGCAATTGTCTGGTACATGTTACGCAACGAAAGCACTCTATGTGGTAAATTTTATTTCGCGCCCGCATAACAAAGTCACTCCTACTGAAGCTCACGTTACACCTTGCACACTTGATGCCGAATAACCTGGAATTAAACACAAACACTGTTTTAACTCATTAGGAGAGAGGAAGATTATAGAAAAACATTTGAAAGCTTTTGTACAAAAAGAATATTACTTTTTAATAGTAAGTAATGAATGTTATTATTCACAAATAATGGAGATAGCAAAATGCTAGGGAAATGTTAATGAATGTTTCATGTAATGCGAGCTTAATACAACAAACAATAAGATTTATTAAATTTAATCAGATAGATATGTTCACGGTATGTTCAGTAAATATTTCATTCACCCCAAGCAGTTACTTGATAAAATAACATGAAACTGAACAAAAGATGAAGAAAATAATATCACAAAGAATATTTTTCTTCATGAGTTTTGAGAATTTTTATTGAAGTGGAAAATGAAAAAATAAATTCATTTTGGAAAATATATATATATATATATATATATATATTTTTTTTTGCCATAGTTCTTGTATCAGTATTTTACTTTTGAAAGTTTTAGAATTGTAAATGAAAATAACATAGTTAAACACATTTTATGAAATCTGGACAAATAGTTGACTGATGCAATGAATTTTAATTTATAATCTAGCATCAATTTAGCTGAAACTGAAACTTTACCCAAACCTAAATTTAGTTATAAAACATTAATATTAAATGTAGTCGTTAAAATGGATACGTTTTTTTAAAGTTCATAAGTTTCAACACCGTACACGTTCTGAGCAGAAATGAGGAGTTGGGAGCTCTCATTCCAAACAATTGGTGTATCATTCGCGATTATATTATTATTCCTATAATCTTCATGAGAATGAGCATAGACTTTTTTTTCTTCATTTTACACTGAGAAAAATTGTATGGTTGAAACTACCAGAATATTTTAAAATTTACCGTGTTTTTGGCTTTATGGGGACACCAAAAAGATTGGTAATTTTCACTGAATCGTTTTGGTTATGCTTTTGGTAATATTTACTATAAAATATGGTTTCATAATCTATGAATAAACATGGTAAAATTTGATAATTTTATCGTGATACCTTTGAGCATGGTACAAGAATCATTTATTCGACTTAATTTAGTGAGTTTCATATTTTCTACAAAATATGTATTATAAGAATTATCGTTTTAAAAACACAAATTTCCGGTAAACCGTTACCACGTGAATGGAAAAATTACCAAATGAATGGTTTGAATGCCATATATTTTGGTATTATTAACCAGAATTATATTATTTTCTTATTTGCAAATGCCATTACCAAATTGTACAGTAATTTTGCCAGAATTCCTTGTAGAAATAAAACAAAGAATTTAATTAAATACTTTCTAAAAAATTATTTGTTCATAAGATTATTTTCAGTAACGCTACAGTTAACAAATAAATTTTTTAAAAAAATTAAATAATAATTTCTCTGTAATTATTCAAAAATGGAAATGCTGTACATTTGCGGAAAAAAACTTAAATTAACGTACAAAAAGTACTTGAACAATCCCTAGGGGGCAAAATGAAATTAAAAATATGGAATAATATATAATATCGCTTCAAAACAAACGATAAAGTTAATAAGGTTTAACTGTAGTCATAAAATAATAAATTTAATTTATAAAGCTCGTTTATACAAACGTTAATAAAAAGAACTTTTTAAATGTAAAATAAAAAGCGTTTCACTTATGCTTATTAGACATAGACATACCAGCAGAAATCCCACAAGAGCTTAATAAAGCAACCAACGAATTAAGCTCAACAACTGACTTAGCATGAAAATAATCATCCCCACAAAATGAAAAATAAAGGGATCTCGTAATGAAAGCTCATTAACCACCACTTGGAACAGTGAACAATTATGTGCTTCAAGTAATTCAGATGTTTGAAAAAAACTTTTCATGAAATGTTCTTTTCATATTTTGTGGACATTTGCGATGATAGGGCAATTTGTTAAAAGAGGAGAAAAGGGAATATTAATTATGAGTGGGGGAAATTTGAGGGATATTAATGATGATTTAACGTTGCCTGTGGTATAAATCCTAATTTTTCCGTTAGGAAATCAATAATTTGAAGGAAATAGCTTTTCAGCTGCTTAAGGTTCGTTACCAGTTGAATCAATGTTTTTCAAAGAGTTGAAATGTTTGTAGTTGGTTATTTTGGATTATCAATTTCATTTTGTCACCAAGTTTACTTGCATGTCTTTAGAGCTTTGAAGCATTTTGCGCGATTCTCACGCATTTTTTAATTTATCGGTGGTATAATTTTAATCTGGTATGTTTAGTTTGTATTAATTGCAAGAAAAAATAGTTAAAAGTAAAAAAATAGATATAAAAAAAAGTGCACTCTGAGGTCAAAGCCAATTGCTCTTTACTAAACTGACCATGGTGAACATTAAAGCAGCAATTAAAAAAATAGCTGCTGACTATTAGTTTTAAAATAATTTGACTATGTTAAAAATTAATAAAGACACCTTACAAGTGTTATCTATATAAATAAAGCAGAATGTTTATATGTATGTATGTACCCTATACAAATCCATAATTCGTATCCGATTTCACCAAATTTAGAGTAAATTCGTTCAAAGACTAATAATATTAGTAAATATGGAGTTAATTTGACAAAAATGATTACCACCTTTGGTATAATCAGAATTTTAATTAATATTAACTATATAGCAAAATAATGTAGTAGTATAATAATGCAGCAGAATATTAGAAAAATCATAAAGTAGTATATAAGCCCATTGGCATTTTTGGTAAGAATATGTGATATAAATTGTAAACATAATTATTCATTTCAAAAATAAGAGTCTCTATTCTTGGTTTCCTTAGATTTAAAATGAGCAACTAAAACTAAGTTGTCACAGCTTCCATAAAAATTTTCGCCCTTTTTAATACTTATTACAAAACAAGCTTTCTAAAGATGCTTTACAAGTAAAATTGAAAGTCAAGATGTAAGATTTGTATAGTGTCTTTCTTTCCCCCCTCAGAAGTTTGGCAGGAAAGTGCATTAATCTTGGCTTCATTAAAAAAAAAATACACATTAAACGTACATGTTCGATTTATTTTATTAGCAGCGAAAATTTTTGAAGATTTCCATACTATTTGCCTCTCTTGATAAATGTATTTTTACAATAGCGATTTTCTTTCTTTAATTTTTCAAATGCATTTCAAATTACATAATGATATTTCAAGACTTTAATACTGTGAGCTAATACTATACATTACCATTAAGTGGAGATTTTTAACCTCAAGCTCTTCATTCCAAATTTAAGAGTGGAGAATTATTTTAAAGAATTTTATTATGGTGTAGCAAATGAACTTTTCACCTTTTACAAGGAAGCTTAACCATCTTCACGCCACTGTTTTGGGGGGACGCCCTATGCTGAAAAAGGTATCTGACAGATTATGGATGGGTGTGGGTGCAATGAGACGAATTCCTTTCCGACTTGAAAGGACTTCCCCGCTCCCATAGAGAAGCCAAGGTAGGGAAAGCAAGCAAGAGAGGAGTTATCTTGCCCTATTGAATAATTCAGCAGTTGCCTTTAAGAAAGGCAGAAGCATCCGTCCGAAGGTTTCTATTAAAGCGAAAAGCATAATGTTTGGAAGTAAATGATGTGGAGGAGGCAGGAAGAGGGTTTCGAGGCCAACCAATCACGAAATTAGCTCAGGGACCTCCAAGGGGGGAGCTGTAGGTGGATCAAGATATGCTCGTCTGTAGTAGCTAGTCAAATCGAAATACCGTCGTCGGGGAGAGGATGCTTTAAAGGAGTATTTTATATTGTTAGAATGATTTAAATCTGTGGAATTTTTTCATTGAATAAAGCTATCATTTTGTATGAGATCTTACGTTGCTTGTGAATTTGACTACCAAAATATTGATCGATTTTTCTGCACGCTGTAAAAGTTAAATACCTTTTCTCCTCTCCTTGGAAATGGATTATGAAAACATGCATGCAAGTAAAATAAAAAGAAAGAAAAAATGAACTGATGAGCTAGTTTTAGTTTATATATATATTTTATTAAATTGATTATTTTTTAAATAAGGGTTTACTTAGGTTTAAGTATTCAGTAATCCGTACAATATTTTTAAGTTAGATAGATTATGAGATTTAAATGAGGCAATAAATTAAATAAGATTTTTTTAATGAATGAAATTATTTGAAATACATAAAAAATTTATAGACAATATTCTTTTTCAAAATAGTACTCATGGACATAGTACAATTGTTGTTATTGAGGGGCTTAATTCTAGAATAATGGAAGTATGAATGTTCCAAAAAACATTTATAATGCATGTATGGCTTTTCCTGTGTCAAATTGTTTTGGTTTATTATCGTGTATTATGAGTATCAAAATTATAGTTGTAAAAGTATGCAAATCTAGAGTAAGACGGGAGAAATTTTTCATCCCAAATTCTCTTTTACCTCCATAAGTAGTTTAAAATTTTAAGTATAGGAAAAGTGCGTTCAGGCAAACCTAGAGTGAGCCATGAAGTTTGCAATACTAAAAAGAAATTTTCTCAAAATCAAAATGAAAAGAAAAAAACTATGATAGAATAACTTAGGATTACGCATTGTGTTGTATGGGTTAGTCTCCTCCTAATTTGCTTGCAGTTTGATATTTAGAATTTTTTTTTTGACCATTAAAACTTTATGGCCTTACTCTAGATTTGCCTGAAGTTTCTTTTTCTATGCTTTCAATTTTAAATTAGTTTCGTGCAAGAGCAAGGTGAATCCACATTTTCCAAAAACATTTATTATGCTCAGAAATATTTATTTGGCAATGGAAAACAGCAGTTTTGATTAGTTCTTCGGGCCCAAGTGTAGCATTTGTTATCGTCTGTAAATAATGCGATTAAAACTATAAAAGTAGACGCTTTTTTTTAATCTTATTTGGCTCTTCCCCAACAATTTGTGAATCTGTATTTACTTTGCTTTTGCACCAGACTCCTCAACTAAACACTAAACTACAGAAATTTACTTTATACTGAAAGTACTAAACGTGAGAAACTGTAACATACCTAAAATAATCTCTTTTGCAGTATGTCTTTCCGTCCCTGACGAAACACGTACACGTCTCGTCGAGGTACTGATGGCAATCCGCACATTTGAGACAGGCCGCATGCCATTCTAGGTCTGGGGACACCCTCAAGATGTATTGGTCATTGATTGCACCTCCACAGCCAACACATGTAGAAGATCGCCGCTTTTCTACCAAAAAGAGGAAAAAGTATATATATACATAAATATTTAAGTTCACATACAAAGTTAAGTAGAAACAAAAATAGTGATTGTATCTTAGTTACTATGGAAAAATATGGTACTAAGACGAAAATATTGTCGCACTTGCCTACTGTAAACAATATATATTTTTTTTTCTGGCAACAACAGTTACTACAACGACAATGTTCTTCAACCATAATAATAATAATTTTAAATTTTAATGTGTTTTTCTTGAAATCTTACTTTTCAAATAAATTTTAAGAATTCCTATTGAAGCATAAGCTTAAATCTCATAATTTTTTGCGAATTTTTCTTATTGTTTCGACATTTAAATTTTTTAAAACATTTGAAACACGTGATATTTTACTTTCCTTTAATTTCTGTTATTGCTGGTAATCCTGTAAACAGTTAAATTTTTCAAGTTTTGCTGCTGAGGATTAATAACCTTTTGCTTTTACTATATATATTTTCAATAAAATGTGTAAAAATTGATAGAAGTTGCTCTTTTTGATTTGTAAAAAGTTTATATAAAAATACGTTAATATCCGTTCGTTATACACGTGAAGCATTTATTATGAATAATAAGAACTTGAATCGCACACGTACTTAGAAACCACGAAATGGAACGTTCTAGAAAATCAGCTGCCAATTATTAAATAAAAAATAAGCTGACACCGAAATGAGATAGTTTTGTCAAAAATCAACATATAAAGTCGTCTGCTATTTGCAAAACATCGTCTGTTAACAAACAAAAGTAAAATGTTCTGTTCTGGGTATAAATACTTTAAAAAATATTAAATAATATTTGATTTATCGTTTGCATCTGAAATTCAAGACTCTTATTCGATCGGGATATTTTGTAAGCTTATTAACTCACGCAAAATCTTTAATGATAGAGAAGAATTAGAGCTCGAGAGAGCGCGTTTCCTCTTCAGAAACTCAACTATGTACAACAAAAGTACTGAAACCACATGACATTAACTTACGTTTTTTTCCCCTTCTTCTTCTTATATTCTAGTTATCAATAGTTATGAACAAATTTTGTCATGACAAAAATACTAATGAGATATTTTTGAAAAAAGAAAAATCTATTCTTTTATGTGGCTGGTTCAGAGTGAAACACTCTTTGAAAAATAAATATTCTGTCTTTTTCATTTGTCGCTACAATTATAATTCGGTTAGTCTATAGTCATATATACAGTTGGAGATCAGGGAAGAAGAACGGATTACGACCACGAAAGCTGATTCTGAGAAAAAAACGACGGAAGCAAGGGGACAGGAGCGAATGGGGAAGGCCCACCTACACTATATAATAACTCTCAGGGAGAACCGACTTCCCTCGTTACTGATTTATCAAAGCTCAAAATGCAACAGGCGATCCAACCGTTATTTTTATGAAAAATATGCATAAAACGGTTTTTCCCATTGATATTCATTTATAAAGATTCGCATTAAAAATTAATTGATCTTCATACATGTTAAAGAACATTTTATAATTATTTAAATAAGATGAGGAAAAAAGGATTAATTCATTATCAAAACACATTATTGTTTCAATATCACAACAAAAAATACTTAACTTGAATTAAATATTAACTTCACATTAAAAAATACCATATTTAACTAACTGAAACAAATAGAAACATTATAATAATTCGAAATCACACCCAGGAAAATATTCTCATCGTTTTTTCTAACAATGCTTTTGCAAAAGTTACTTTTACTTAGCATGCAATTAGCTTAAACACATTATACTTCGATGTAGAAAATAGGATATTTGAGCACATGCAACTTAAAGTATTCTTATTTTTTTTCAAAACGTTAAATTTTAGACCGAAAAGAAATAAATAAGAAATATGAAACTTCCAACTACTTTCATATGTATACATTTACAGTCCTCTTACAAAAATTTCATACCTTCTTACTGTGAATGCATAGATACAAAAATAGTAATATATTTTGATTCAACATTTACGTGCACGTCAAGGTTAAGTGATTTTAACGAGCATGTATTCTTTTGTTCATCATCTATTTATGTGCGAAAACAAGTACTTCCTAAATTATCGCTGTTTGGGTTAACCACTCCCTTGGTTCATTTGGTGTTAACACGCAATAACAACATGGTTCAGTGCATTTTCCATACACTGAAACTATATTGACATTAACTTGTCATGTTTTTGTGAATACACACTCCCCTGTGTAATTAAACAAGCAATCATTATTTCAAGCACAACGACTGCTTTGTGTGCGAATGTGGGACAAATGTTAGTAAATTTTCACTTATATTGTTATACGTTATACTTTTTTTCCTAATTTTATTTCAGATACTTAAGCCTATTTTAGGTTATTTTTGCAAAAAATTTCAATATTAGTATCAAGCAGTATTCAGAAAATTTCACGAAAAATAAAATTCTGATGCGCCGTAATTTTTACGGTAATATGTGCTGTAAAATCACTGAAACACTGTAATTAAAAAAATAAAATTTTTCTTTTAATAATATTAATTCTGTTTATTTTCTCAAAAAATGATACATTTTAACTTTCAATAAGTGAAAAATATACTTTTACTATCCATATCTAAGCATATAGTTAAACAAAACACATACATGACAAAACATAAACCAGAAATAGTTTATGCAATAAGTGAAATACAGCATACAAAGTTTGAAAAATTCTTACCAGTCAAAAAAATATTACATTTAATTAATTATTACATTGAGCTAAAAAAAATGCTCCCAAATACCTCGAGTATTTTTGAAATTTTTTCTTCACAAATTATTACATACATTACTTTATCGAATGGAATGCATTGCAAAATAGTTTTACAATATCTCTATATCTTTAGGCAAAAAAAAAATTAAATTGCGTAAAGCGAATAAATAAATAAACCATAACATAGTTCTAAATTTTCCTTGAATCAAATTTCATTTCATTTTGACAATACTTTCTCTAACTTTAAGACTCTAGCTTTCGAAGTTGATACCATTTACTGTTTTGATTTAACCAAATATATGCAAATATATAATAAATATGCACACAAACTAAAAATATGCATGAAAATGTACTTTAGAGCAGTTGAGACAATTCACAATTAAGCAGCATTCAGCAAAAGATATCCTGAAGCCTAATATAATAGTTATAAATATTAATATTACAGCGATACAATTACCATATTTTAAAATTCATCTCTACTGAGTTGCTAAAGTAACTAAACTGTTAAAACGGCCCATTCTATCGAGTAAGTTAGATAGGAGAAACTTTAATTTAGCTTTTTCGTGTTAGAGCAAGTTTGAAAAGTTATTGCACTCATAGCTGATAAGTTTTACAAAATATATTTTACCATTCATAGCATTTCCATGACAATATCAAATAACTAAATGAGGTCTTTTTTAATGGATATTTTCATGAAATTTGTAGTTTTAATGATTGCTATTGTATTCCCCCATAATTTCAATTCTTAACACAATACTTTCAAAAAATGTTAACAAAAATATCCTTTTAATTTTAAATTTTTATTTTATCATCAAGAAAATAAAAATTTAATGAACGAAAAAGAACAAAATGTTGAACAGCATAATAATTATTTCGGTAGTAATTTTCTGATAAAATTTATCATTTAATTAAAGAAGTAAAATTATTATTTTAAACATTATCATTTGCTCAGAGAAATTAATTTAATTTACAGGCAACAGCATTAAAATTTTTCTCCGTTTTTTTAAACAAAAATTATAATGTAGTATTTAAATTTGTAAAACTGAGTTCACTAATTCTAACTTAAGTATACTTAATAGCTTCAACATTAATATCGTAAAATAAAAAATTACGCTTTCTTAAGGTACCATTACATTATTCAACACTTTTACCCACATTTTGATTGAATTAGAAAAAAATTTAGTCATTTAATTTAATTTGAAATATAATTTTACGCCATCATTTTAAGCAGAAAACTGATAGAATATATGTCATAATTCTTAACGATTTCCATAGTTGGTTTTTTTTAAAATGACTCCCTTCTTCAGATATGGAGAATTTTCACGAATTAAATTAAAGAAATTAAATTAATTCATGAATTAAATTAAAGAAGAAAATCTTTGATTTGCAAAATTAAAAAGAAAAAAATCCTTCATGTCATTCCAGTTATTATCACTTTTATTGCAATATAAAAATTTTATAAAAAATAATATGCATCTATTACAAATTTTTTTAGGAAAATTATTATAATAAACATATTTCATAAGCTTTTTCTTAATATCAATTAATAATTTAATTTTTAAAAAAAACTTAACTTAAATTTGAGTTGAGTACCATTCACCTTTCATTTCTTATAAGGATCAGAATAGTTGAATACATCTTAATTGATTAAATTAGTACAAATGCTTTTAACCATAATTGCATTATATTTACTTGTTGAGAAAGTTTTTTTTTTTTTATCAGAGTTGATGAACCTCCTATATACTTGAGGCTGTATCTCAGTTAGTTTCTTGTTAGTAATAAAGTCCATGGTTAGCACGAATTTAAACTATTTTTGAAGGCTATATTTCTCGAGCTATCTTCTCCATACTATATATCATATAGTAGATATAACTACAGCGAGTCAACGTTTATTGACCAGACTACATTTTGCACGGAACTTTAAATGATTATCTTAAATACACCAAACATAAATAGGCTTCATTATTGCCAATCAAAGTGTTCATTCTCTTACTTGTTGCTATTTAATGAATAATTATTAAATAGCATTATAGCAGAGTGAGAGTCAGTTTCCTCGAATGAGTTATTACAATAGAAGCAAGCTTGAACTATACACGAAAATGCGTTAACGCTAGCACAAGAGTGAGAGTCAGTTCCCTCGAATGAGTTATTACAATACGCTTGAACTATACATGAAAATGCATTAACGTTAGCACAAGAGTCAGAGTTATTTCACTCGAATGAGTTATTACAATAGAAATACCCTATTGCTATCCATAAAAAATGCAATAACGTTA